TTAACCATGGATTTACTACACTAACCATAGTTTAACCATGGTATTTGTACAACTGTGGTTATACAAATGGTAAAAAAAAAAACCTTGGTTAAAGAAAACATCTTGCCATATCAGTGCAAGTTGTGAATTTATTTTATGTAGTTGATAATATTTATAGGTATAAAAACACTTAAAAATCTAAGCTCATATGTAGTCATGTTTAAAGCTATTGATTCTAAAACATATTTATATAGCATATTATCTATATGTTTATATTAATTTAAAATAAAATCTTAATAATTACTATTAAACTAAGCTAGCTTGTGTAATGGATTAAGGGTATAATAATTATATAAATCATATAAAATAATTATAAAAAATAATAATCTCTAAATTCAGACAATTTTATCTTTAAAATGTTTTACTATGTAGCATCCTTTAAGTTGGAGTAAGAGAAACTGGTGGAGTGGCTTTATTGCATCAGACATGTGTCACTTTGCTAGAAGCCGATTGGTCAAATTTCACTTTGAGATCTCTAAACCAGAACATAACCTGCCCCAGAGCAGGTTAGCTGTGGAGTGTAAGTTACTAAAGGCTAGTTTATAGAGTTGATCATATTTATAGGTATAAAAACACTTAAAAATCTAAGCTCATATGTAGTCATGTTTAAAGCTATTGATTCTAAAACGTATTTATATTGCATATTATCTATATGTTTATTTTAATTTAAAATAAAAGCTTAATAATTACTATTAAACTAAGCTAGCTTGTGTAATGGATTAAGGGTATAATAATTCTATAAATCATATAAAATAATTATAAAAAATAATCATCTCTAAATTTAAATTCAGACAATTTTATCTTTAAAAATGTTTTACTATGAAGCGTCATTTAATTTGGAGTAAGAGAAACTGGGGGAGTGGCTTTATTGCGTCAGACATGTGTCACTTTGCTTGAAGCTGATTGGTCAAATTTCACTTTGAGATCTCTAAACCAGAACATAACCTGCCCCAGAGCAGGTTAGCTGTGGAGTGTGAGTTACTAAGGCAATGAATGCCGCTAAAAGTCAAGCTGCTTTCATGGTACCGAAAACCCAGGATTGGTGCAAACTAAACTGAAACTTACCTGGCTAGCCAGCTAAACCAACTTCATGGTACAGGCCCAGGTTAGGTTCACAGAGTAAGTTACCATGGTAACGGACTCTGAGTATAACCTCCCTTTCAGAAACGGGCTTGACTTACCCTGCTTTCTCGGGTTTGACATACCTCCCATTCTGAAATGGAAAACCCAGAGTTTCCCTCATTTCAGGGTTAACATACTCAGAGATTTCACTTGACCGCCTTTCTGAAACGAGCCCCTGGAATACACCCCAGATGTCTGGTACCACACAACAATACCACTATAAAGGAGCACGACACGGATATCGATTAATGGCATGATACAATGGTGGGAAAATCGATAATAACGGTTGCCATGGCAACATGATAACGATCTCGATGAAACAGCTGTTTAAAGCGTAGTGACGCACTACCTCCCAAAGCGTTCGTGCACAATGCTAACATTGGTAAACAGAAAAGTTTAATCATAAGAAAAAACTTTTAGCTAATAATTCGCTTTCTCCTTTCTAAGTTACCTGATATTCGCCCAGTCCCCGATCTAAGCCATAAACTCACCCTTTCACCACGAAAAACGGATCTTCCATCGACATTTTGGTGCTCAGATGAGTCGACTCTTGTGCGATAAGCTCATGCTCCTGATCGCGGCTGGTTTTGCTCTTCTTAAACAAAGGAGAGCGCTTAATGTGTTGTTTACATGTGGGACGGAGCCCGGATCCGCTCAGCCGCCATTGCTCGGCGGAATCACATCCGGGTCCTTCAGCGTCTAGACACACACACACGCACGAACGCATACGCGCTTCCTGGTAAACAAAAACCGGCGTGCTCTGCGTGGGTTGTTTTGGTTTGTTGCAGTAAAAGAACCAAGCAATATTGCCGCATGTATGTTCAAATGTGTATAAAAGCAAGATTGTGATTATAAACATACACGCACAGTTATTTATTAGCTTGTTTAATTCAGATTCTGATATATAAATGTAGAAATGTAGTTACAATTTCAACACCACTATATCATCCCAGTCAATATTACTTTATTCTGTTATAATTTAATAATTCTATAGTATATTATACACTATTATGGAACATTATATTATTATTGTTATGAATAATAATAAATATGTAGTGACATGCATTTCAACAACTCTATAGCATCTAAGGCAATATTACTTTAAATTATTATTATTATTTGATACTGATATAGTGTACACTGCCATATAATAATAATAATTATTATTATTTATTACATTAAAATGTATTTAAAATGTAATGTACAAATTATTCATAATTTAATAATAATAATTATTATTATCATCAACATCATCTCATCATCATTATTATTATTATGTTTTGTTTTACTTATCTTGTCTTATACACTAAAAAGTACTGTGGTAATACCATGCTATTGTGATGATATCTGATGGTGATACCATTTTGAAATTCAGAAAATGTTGTATCATGATAGTATCGTGGTACATGTCTAAAACAGCTCTATTATTTTTTTATATACATTTTCTCAAACTTTCCATACAATAGTATATATGAGGTATTACCAGCTGATACTTATTGTACTATGGTTCCACCAGTGTACTTTTTCTTCTTCTTTTTAATTGAACTCTAGAATTTACCTTAATACATTACATTAATTAAACCATTCCCCAAAAAAATTACAAATTAAAATTGATTAATAACAACAACAACAATAATAACATTTGAAATAATTTACAATAATAGAAAAAGGCCACAACCATGAGTCTGCCACTGTTTTCTCTTAATAAGCGTAGCTTTGCGCCTGGTCTTCCTTTTAAAACAGTGCTTCATGCATTATTCAACACAGCGCACTGCCTTCTCATTAGCTGACTATCTACACCAGTGCTATCCACTGGTAAGCGGATGCTGTGTATGATGTAAAACCAGCAAACCAGCTGGAAACATTTCAGCTTAGTGAGTAAAGCTGCATAAATTATTAATCAACTCTGGTTTTATTTATAATATCAGTTGCCAGTTTCCCATCAACAAGCAGACCTGCAATTGAAAAGCTGGGAATAGATAAGGATAGCCTACATTATTTTATATGGACCTTGTGTTGTATCCCTTTACTAACTACAGCTGGATTCTGATTTAAATAACAGTATCATGGCTTTATTAGGGCCCGAGCACCGCGGTGCGAGAACCCTCTTGGAATTGCTCTGTTTATTCTTCTTCTTCTTCTTCTCCAAAGTGAATCGCTTTTTTGAGGGCCTAAACATTCTCCAAAACTCATGAAACTTTGCACACGCATCAGAACTGGCGAAAATTTACATCTGATATGGGTTTCAGAAGTGGATGTGGCAAAACGGCTCGATAGCGCCACCTGTAAAATTACAACGGAGTGCACCTCGAGCTACGTTTTACGTACATGTACGAAAATCGGTACACGTGCGTAACACACCATTACCTACAAAAAAGTCTCTTGGTACAAAATCCAAAACCCAACAGGATGCACGTTATTTTGAATTTACTGTACAATTTTTGTGCAGTTTTTGACATTTCCAGGCCTCGTACTTTGACGAACTCCTCCTACAGTTTTATTCGGATCATCTTCAAATTTGGTGAGGGTCATCATAAGGCCTTTGTGATGTTAAATTGCGAAGATCTTGAGTTTTCGTCAAGGGGCGTGTCCCTGGCGGCCTGACAAAGTTTGATGTTTCGCCATAAAACAGGAAGTTGCTATAACTCAGGCAAGCAATGTCCGATCTGCCCCAAACTTCACACGTTTGATAGGTGTTATGTCCTGAACAAATACCCATGCCCAAATTCAGTTGTACTCATAGCGCCACCTGCTGGCAACAGGAAGTGTCATGGTTAACACTGTTATGGACTCCTAGGAACATATTAAAAAGCGTCAGCAAGTGTTAAATAGGCTGGCAACATGCTAGAAACATACTAAAACATGCTAGCAACACTTAACTAAGTGCTAAAGCATGCTATTAATGCAGTGAAAGAGGAAGTTACTGTAACTCAGGCATGCAGTGTCCAATCTGCCCCAAACATCACAGGCATAAAATGTCAGATCTTCCCCAAACTTCACATGTTCAATAAAAGTCCTGGCCTGAACACATCTGAAGGCCAATATTCCATTATAATCATAGCGCCACCTGCTGGCAACAGGAAATGGCTTGTTTCACACTAACTTAAACATGCTATGTCCAATCTGCACCAAACTTCACATATTTGGAAAGAGTCATGGCCTGAAGACATCTAAAGGCCAATATTCAGTTATAATCATAGCGCCACCTGTTGGCAATAGGACACGTCATGCTTTATACTAACTCAAACATACCATGTTCAATCTGCACCAAATTTCATATGTTTGATAAAAGTGCTGGACTGAAGAAATCTACATGCCAAAATCCAGTTATAGTTATAGCGCCACCAGCTGGCAGCAGGAAGATTGGCACATATAAATGACTTTGACGTATTCCTCCTATATTTACCACTTTAAATGCATAATGCTCGCCATTCGCTGTTTTACTAAAGCCACCCCATGGCGGTGAGCCCGGGTGCGAGGGCCTGTTCATCACTGCTTGCAGCTTTAATTCCATTTGTTCTTGTCTATCAATAATACATTCTTCTTAATCTGAAATACGGCTCGATGCAGTGGAAGCAAAGGATTTCTCAGATGTTTTGCGGTAGCCATGATGACTGACTGATCGTTTATATTTAGATAAACAATCTCTGAAAGTGTCAGGTTTATGACCCACATCTTAATGCAGGCGAACTCACAAACCAGCGCACACGGATTGCTAACTTAAAAAATGACATATAAATAAAGAAAGCATCGCCACTCAGAAGCATTATCATCAATTCAGGGTCAGATCTCCCACACTATTCATTGTCGTTCATGAGTAGCGGCTAACCGTTTCTTCAAACAAAACATTGCCCTTCCCCCCACTAACAGCTCCATTCACATTTGCCCAGACACCGCAGTGGATTTGCACAATAGAGTCATGTGACACGACTGTAGTAGACAAACCATTACATCAGTCGAGGAAGTCAGTTGAAAAGAATTAAAGGGGAAGTGCACGTTTTTCTGAACATAGAACGAGATGAGCTGCTATGCGGAAACCGTGTACAAAATAGAAACAATAATACAGTAATGTGGATATTTAAAATCTATTTCAGAGACTAAATATATGAAACAAGGAGCCTACCCTAAATATGCTACATAATCTGTAAAAACACGAGTTAGTGTCTTGTATATGTCGATTTTGGCTTGTTATTCGTTACAAAAATTATGTTGTGTTTTAAATATAGTTCGTCTTAGTTTTATAAATCAAAATAGCTGAACAAACACAATGAGTTGTAAAAATATCTGGCTATTTTAGCATGAAAACAATTCTATCCCTTTAAACAGTTCTCCCACGTTAGTATTTAAATATGACTCATCGCCACGGCGCTCTCCCATTGGTCATCGCCTATTTGGCGGGGTGTGATTCACAACGCTGGCAGAACGCAACTCGAGACGTGATTGGCTAGTGTAGCCGCTGACGCTGAAGTATAAAAGCGAGTTAAAAATAGGATCAGTCTCATTCCTCCCTAGACCATTGTTGGGTGCTGAGGAGAATGAGTGAGGTATTCAAAACTCCTACACTCACCCAATAATACAAATATTGTATTTTGTGAATGAGAATGAGGATTGTGTCAACAAAATACGGGACGATTTGATCTACGGGAGGAAAAGACTACTTGGACGTTATTTATTAACGCGTTTCCGAGCCGGTGGCCAATTTGCAGTAGCCGTTTGAGGAGAATCCTGAGAGGAAATCAAACGCGGAACGCCCGGCGAACTTTGTACCTCTGTGAACTTTACCATATCCATTCCAGCCATGGAATACAAAGTGGAAGCCCATCGGATAATGAGTATTTCCTTAGGGAAAATCTACAACTCGCGCGTTCAACGAGGCGGCATTAAACTGCATAAAAACCTCCTGGTTTCACTGGTCCTTCGCAGCGCGCGTCAGGTCTATCTGAGCGACTACTACAGCGGCGCGTGTCTGAACGCTGCTCAGAGCGAGCGCGAAGGGAACGAATGGGACATTACGGACACAGAGCGGGAGAAATTCCCTCCCTCTACAACGGAATGTGACCGAGTAGAGAGCTCAGAGGAACCTCAACAGAACGAGCGGCCCGAGAAAGAGCGGGAATATCGCGAAAACGACGATGAGGTGAAATCAGACCAGGCGGATTGTACTTCCACTTTACAACAAGAGCAAAACCAAAACTCTTCGCTGGACTCTGTGGCAAAGGTTTCATCTGAAACACTGCAGGAAACCATTAAGGAACCCAAGGAGAGTCCCTCAGACAGTGCATTAGCAGAATGCGACTCAACGCCTGAAGCGAACGGGGAATCGCATCAACCACCCAAAACGCACGTTTGTTCAAACAGGAAAAGAAGCGCGGAGGAGACGGAAAGTGGCGATTCGCCTAAAAAAAAGACAAAAGTTGCTTCCTCAAATGCTAAAGAGGGCGAGGAAGCCGAGGAGATGGACACAAGTAACGTGTCCAACCTCATTACGATATTTGGTTCCAGTTTCTCAGGACTTCTCAGCAAAGACGACGTTAAACCTGAGTCTGAAGCAGAGGATAGTGGACAACTCTGCTGCGACCAAATGTTGAAGAACCTAAACCCTTGGAGTACAGCGATAGTAGCTTTCTAACTGTACTGTAACGTTACTTCTTATCCGGGTTGATCTGAGCGCATTGGTAACACGTGGTCAGGCCCAACATCGTAGTGTGGGACTTCCCAGCAAGCATGAGTGGTACTACCAAAGTACAAGCTCAGTTTGGCCTGTAAGATGTCCGGGGCATGCCTTTCTAGTGAAGGAGCTATCTGAATGCTGGTGCTACTACTTGGGATCTACTACAGTCCTTGAAGTGTTGAACTGTCAGACATTATAAAGCCATGTGAGGAGTGGTATTACAACATATGCAAATGTGTCATGAAGGTCAATGTTACATTGTCACTGAACCGATTCAGGGTCGATCACACCAAACTTGACTGTACGAGGTGTAGGCCACTGTTTTAACGTCTTTGTTTTAAAAAGACCTGTACATTCTGTAATATTCGAGTGTGTATATATTGTTTGTCGCATTCTGAATCTATGTATTTTGGTATCATGACAATTTACGTGGTACTCACGTATTAAAAAATGTGAAATGACACTGTTTCTGTGCTTTCTGTTTAGGAGTGGAAACGCTGAGAACGTGACTCACATGACTAAGAATGACACCTCATCATCCACCTTTTTTCAAATGTCAGCTTTTTTTTTATTTTATTTTTTTAGAATATTCAAAAATAACAGCCCAATGCTGTTTTTAAGGTTCCCACGGTGATAGAACTTTAAAATAATTTTAAATAGCAGATTACTAGAAAATGCTAATACTTATATAAATATATAACACTACTTCATTGTCAAAAACTGCAGTTTGTGATATGTATATGGTATATACACATAGCCTACATATACATATACAAGGTTGATTCAGAAGTGTCCCAATTTACCTGAATTCATATTTTAAATTTCTGAATTCTATACATACATTTAAATTACATAGAACTATTCAGTAATCGCAAATGAAAATTAAAGAAACTTGAAAGTTCTTCGGTCAGGAAGTGTGAGAACCATATTTTACACACTTCATTTTGAATAGAAGATTCAATGAAAAACAATTTAGGGTTAGTATTTAAATATTTAAAATGAAGCTTCCCCAAACAAAAGTATTTGGACCAAAGTGATCCAACAAGTTTGAGAAGAACAAGAATGTTCAGCTGCTGTTCCACTGCATCACTTCCAGGCAATTTTTACTGCATGCTGTAAAGAGAGCTATTGTACCCCTGAAGCATGTGTGGTATGCAGGGTTCAGTTTCAGCGCAGACTGCTGTCTCTTCTCCCAGGGCCTGTCTTTGGTCCCAGGCTATTCAACATGACATGCCTTTTCCTACAAGAGAGAACAGTCATAATAGAATCATTGACTTCTCAACCTTTTTTTCCATGTAGAAACATCACTTGAGCAGTCTTACATTATTAATAGAGGCGATATGATTCATAATTTACAATGAGTAAAAGATAAATAATGTAATTATGAGAAATGTATTTCATTTACTAGGCAAGAATGCAGTCATTGAGGTAAGTGTATGAGCCTGTCTTGTAATACGCATCCAGGTCAAAAGATAAGAAATCATAAAAATGACAAAGATGTGGGTTCCCATGGTCAAGGAAAACCTCAAATATCAACAAATTTTAAAAAGTGATTTCCAAGTCATATTTAATGATACTAATTTTTTGTAAGTGTACAATAGTTAGAGTTATGGTTATTATGACTTTATAATATTTAATTATATGAAATATACACTACTGTTCAAAAGTATGTGATCAGAAAGATTTGAAATGTTTTTGAAAGAAGTCTCTTCTCACCAAAGCTGCATTTATTTGATTAAAAATACAGTAAAAACATTAACGTTGTGGAAATATTATTACAATTTAAAGTAACACTTTTCTATTTGAATATACTTTAAAATCTAATTTATTCCTGTGATGACAAAGCTGAATTCAGCATCATTACTCCAGTCTTCAGTGTCACATGATCCTTCAGAAATCATTCTAATATGCTGATTTATTATCAATGCTGTAAACAGATGTGTTGCTCAATAGCTTTTTAGGAACCTGTTATACTTTTTCGGAATAAAAAAACTAAGTGTAAGTGTTAGTCAGTGTAAGTCTTTGTTATCAGTTTTTATCAATTTAACATCTTTGCTGAACAAATGCATTAATTTCTTTCAAAAAAGAAAAAGAAAAACATACTGACCCAACTTTTGAGTGGCATAGTGTATTTTTATACAAAATGTATAAAATATACAATAAAATTTAACTTGTAATTTAGCATATAAATATAACATCCTGTAAATGATAATATACTGTATATAATATTTTAAAACTGAACTGCAATCTCTATAAAATGATTTTAAAACCCTTCAACAGTCACAAATAACTAGAAAGCTTAAAGTCACTGATTGTATGAGGGGGAAAGTGATTTTTAAGGGTCAGATCAGGTAACTAGAGATCTAGATAAATAAATACCTTAAGGATTTCCAACAATATGTTCAACTTTTTAGTGCGAGTAACATTTAAGAAAAACCTTTATGACGTTAACTCCAGCAGAACCAGCTTTATGCCCGGTGCGGCCGCATTCTTTCACACAGACATGAGTAGCTATTGATAGATACATTCCCTTGAGAAAGACCAGAAGGCATGAGTAAAGCTGCTTTCTCGACCCTGCTCTTTTGAGAAATGTGGGTCATTCAAATCCTGGCCATAGTCGAGTCAGCTGACCACACCAGCATAGAACAGTAACAGAGCTGGAGCGGAAGACGAGTGGCCTGACGTGGCTGCGGTGGACTTTTTCTCACATTTCTGTAGTTCCTTTAATAACGTAATAGCTCATGTTATCACTGACATTGATCCAAAATAAACATAGAGATCTAAAAATGTCTAAAAATCAATATATGGATCTGAAAATGTTTGTCGCATGTGATGCAACATCACTGGCTGTTTCACAAACCATGCTTAAACACATGCAGCTGTCCTCTCCTGACTGGCCTCTCGCTCCTGCATTCCTCTGTCCTGGAAGGAAAGGGGGTGGGGGGTGGGAGGAAAGGAGCAAAGTTGTGAAAACGATTCCTGCCGATGTGCAGTAGGAGAGCATGTGGGTCTGGAATGTTGAGTCAAAAGCCGAGAAATTTAACGGGAACGTTGGTCTGATTACAGTTTTGTTAAATGATCAGGTAATGGCATGTCAGCTCAGATTCATGCAAAATGACAATGCAACAACAAGATTTTTTGCTTGTTTTTTTTTTTGTTTTTTTACATTTTCTGAAAAAAAAAAAGAATGAATATATATACATGTGTGTGTGTGCAGTAGCTATTTTAGTTGGACTAAAACAATAATTTGTCTTAAGTCACTAAAGTAGTGGACTAAAGGGTCAAAAATTTCAATTCAAGTGCACTGATGAATGAAGCACTATTCACACAGAAGTTACTTTCAAACCATGCAGCGAAACTGTGTGACCAACTTGAACCCGATGCGAAATCTGTTTGCGGAAATCTTCAGTAGAAATTCCTGATTGCGTGGATTCCTATTGAAATGACTGGATTTTACCTGTGAAAATTCACAGTAAATGTGACTGCACCTATTTGTTAGGCAAATATTCGATTGCGCATAGTGTCACGTTTACTTAGACAACTTGACTACTCATAAACCTCTGTAGCTCGTCTAGAACGGAGCATTTAAACTCACTTTCTGATATCATACCACCACTTAAATATAAATCTACTGTCTATTTTATCATAGGCCAGGCAAAAGAGAACACTATGACCATTTAGAAAAGTAATATCAAACCAAAGTTCAATGCTTAGTGTCAAATCTCCAACTTGGCTTGCTTTGCAAAGCTTTTAGGATAAACTGAACAACAAAAAGAGACTCTCAAGCAATAAAGATAAGATGTCAAGGACTGTTTTAGGTGTTTAGGTGATTTATTGTGTGCTAAGAGCCATGCCGTGTCCCTGTTTAACATGGTCAGTCCCAAAGAGCAGGGGGCGGAAAGATGCCTGAACAAAACACCAGTCTGGATACAAGTAGAGACAAGATCTACTCAAGCAGTTCTTTTGTTCAAAGCAAACAGAAAGTCAGGAAATCTTTCCACCACTCATTCAGCAAGATGGATATCTCCGCATTGACACATCAACCGGAGTGACCCACAAAGCAATTTGTCACTGATTTCATCAGTCTCCACAATGCTCCAAGTTACTCATCCACCCATTTTTGAAGGTATGCATACAGTATTCTTCCAAAAGTTCCAAAGGGGGGATGGGTGACAAGTCAGAGAATAATCTCACAAACCAATACGTGAACTCTCCCATAATCACGTGATGGCTTAAAGGAGTCATTGTCCATTCAAATCAGCTTTGTGCATGCAGGAATTACCGAACCTAATCAGAAGCCTTCAAAACACTAGCAAACCATCTGCCATTAGCCAAAAGATCAGATGTGCTTTCTGTACACTCTTAAAATGAAGTTACCAAAGCGAGATTTCACAGGAGAACCATTTCAGAACCTTTCCCGGAACAGTTCTTGAACGAACCACAAAGAACATCTAATCTAAAGAACCTTTCCACTATAAAGAACCTTTTGTGCAATGGAAAGTTCCATGAATGTAATGGTTCTTCAATGTTGTATGCTATGCAACATATAATTTTGCATTTGTGCATATAGTAGCCTATTTTCTTTATTTAGATTGGTTGAAATCACACCAGTCTAGTTTTTGCAAAGTCGGACTAAAAGTCAAATTTTTGCAAGCAAAAAAGTCCATTGGCCATTTTCCATCTTTCCAAAGAGAGATTTTTCAATTGAACCATTTTGGAACCTTTCACTGAACAGTTCTTAAAAGAACCACGAAGAACATCTAATCTAAAGAACCTTTTTCCACTATAAAGAACCTTTTGTGCGATGAAAGGTTTCATGAATGTAACGTTTCTCCATGGAAGGTTCCATAAATGTAATAGTTCTTCACAGACCCATAGATTCCAACAAAGAACCTTTATTTTTAAGAGTGTAGCGAAGAAAACAGATACAAAATTTGTGCATATAGTATTTTCTTTATGAGATTGGCGAGTGATGCCAAAATACAGCATCATGTAATACGGATGATCTCAGATTAGGTCGTTTATGTGAGAGTGCAAAAATAAACAGGGAAACTCCAGTTCTAGTGTGCAATAAAACCAAACAGGGAACTAAAAGTCGTAACCGCAGAACAGTTAGAACTTTGAAACTGGTCTACAATGACTCTACGCCCTCCCCCCCTCCGCCCCCCATAAGAGCACAATCACAAAGACAATTCAGCAGTGATCTTTTCAAGGAGGGGAGAAAGAAAAAGCCCTTGCAGTGGCCCCGCTATTCATTCTGTTTGACCCCTGTCGGAGCCCAGACAAACTGAAGTCTTTGTTTATCTTGGGAAACTGGCAGAGGACAGGAGGGGAAAAGGGTTTGGGTGGGGGAGGGTACTGAGGATTGGAAGGAAAATGGGATCGGGGGAGGGGTATCCTGGGAAAAATGCCAGCATGGGATCAGTGACAGGGCCGGGCTTCCTGAAACAGGAGCAGCCTGGGATGGTGAAGGAAAGGGGTGTCATTGTGGTTGGGGGGAGGGTCCACCTTGTTGGACCAGGCCAGAAGACCAGAGACGTACTACACACTCAATACGTCACGTTGATGTATGTTTCCTGTTGGGCGTGGGGTCGTGTTTAATTACAGTTCCGAAAGCTTTATAGACTCCACTCAACTGATAGCAAACAGCCTGTGAGGCTTCTGCAATGACAACAGGCCTTGTGTGTGAGAACGTTTAGGTGTCTCCTCAAACGCTACAAGCCGGGGCATGTTGAGAGCAAAGGAAGCTTGGGGCAATTAAAGCAGACAGATGGTTGCTAAGAGAAAAAAGGCTGGTGTACCTTTCTCATGTTTTCTTGCTACAGGAGGGTCATGTGTTCTAACAGGAGCCACGGCGTAGATAGATCTGAAAAGAGTGAGAAATTTAGTATTAGTCAGGCACTTTATACGCACACACACACTAGTGATCACTGTTCTTGTAACTAGATTTTTCACTTTATAAAAACAACTTCTCTGTTGCCCAAGTACAACTTGCTTTCGTTATTCTGGGTGGTCGCCAAGGTGTCCTGAGTGGTTTTGGCATGTTGCAGTTGTTGGGGTGTTGCTATGTCATCGCTAAGGTATTCTTATTGATTCTAACATGTTGCTAAACAGTTCCTTGGGTGTTCTGAGTGGTTGCCAAGGCACTGCTATGCAGTTGCTAAGTTATTCTGTGTGGTTTTAGCATGTGGTTGTTAAGGTGCAGTTGCTAGGGTGTTGATATGTTGTTGCTTAATGATTCCAACATTCTAACATGATGCTAAGGTGTTCTGGGTTGTTGCCAGGATGTTGCTCTGCAGTTACTAATGTGTTCTGAGCGGTTGTAGTGCATTGCTAGGCTGTTACTATGGAGTCACTAAGGCGCAGTTTCTAGGGTGTTGCTATGTCATCGCTAAGGTATTCTTATTGATTCTAACATGTTGCTAAACAGTTCCTTGGGTGTTCTGAGTGGTTGCCAAGGCACTGCTATGCAGTTGCTAAGGTATTCTGTGTGGTTTTAGCATGTTGTTTTGCAGTTGCTAGGGTGTTGCTATGTCATTGTTAGGATGTTCTCAATGATTCTAATTTGTTGCTAAGCAGTTGCAAGGGTGTTCTGGGTTGTTGCCAGGATGTTGCTATGCAGTTACTAATGTGGTCTGAGTGATAGTAGTATGTTACTAGGCTGTTGCTATGGAGTTGCTAAGGTGCAGTTATTAGGGTGTTGCTATGTTGTTGCTAGGATGTTTTTAATGATTCCAACATTAAAACGTGTTGCTAAGCATTTGCTAGGGTGTTCTAGTTGGTTGCCAAAACATTGCTATGCCGTTGTTAAGGTGTCCTGAGTGGTTTTGGCATGTTGCTATGCAGTTGCTAGGGTGTTGCTATGTCATTGCTAGGGTGTTCTGAATAATTCTAACATTCGAACATGTTGGTGGTTGCCAGGGTGCTGCTATGCAGTTGCTAAGGCACTCTGTGTAGTTTTACCATGTTACATTGTATTTGCTAAAGTGCAGTTGCCAGGGTGTTGCTATGTCATTGTTAGGCTGTTCTCAATGATTCTAACTTGTTGCTAAGCCGTTGCAAGGGTGTTCGGAGTTGTTTCCAGGATGTTGCTATGCAGTTACTAATGTGTTCTGAATGGTTGTAGTATGTTGCTAGGCTGTTGCTATGGAGTCACTAAAGTGCAGTTTCTAGGGTGTTGTTATGTGGTTGCTAAGGTGCAAGTTTAAAACTATTTGCTGAGGTTTTAAACTATGCAAGCCTGAGAGTAAAAAATATAAAGATACTTTAGATAAAGTAAATAAGAAATAACGTCATATTATGAGATATAAAGTCACAGTTACAAGATATTTTCACAGCTGTGAGAAACACAGTCACATTTGTGAGATATACAGTTGCATTCACATTTTTTGACCATTTAGGACATTCCATACTTAGGGTTTGGGGTTTAGTACAAATCAGAAAGTTGGAAGTTGGTTAACTGGTACTACAGAAGGTTTGTACCAATAAAATGTTTAAATGCTTTAAAAGCTCTTTATAATTCCTGACCACTGAATTTGTGTCAAAAAAGAGGAAGTATATTTAATTTTGCATGGCCAAAAATACCTCCGTAGTTTTCTCACTCTGTTAGTTCCTTGAAATGGTCAAAGTTCAGTTTAGAGGCTGGGGGAAAGTTCCTTCAGAGGACTTTTTATTTGCTCATAGTGACTCACTCACACAAAAGTCCACTAAAAATTAAACTTCCAAATGTGATACGAAGCCGAGGTGATCATTCTAGTTTGTCAGTTATTAAATCTTATGTCTATAGATCCATTCGTCGTTAAATGTCATAATTATCGTAAATATTTCTTGCTGGGAACTTTGCCTTCAGGCTGTAATGGCGTCACAGAATCCTCTATATCTAAATGAGTCCAAAAATCAAGGTCGGAACCACTGGTTTTCGGGGTTTTGACGTAACAGTAAGTGTTTTTGTGTGGCAAATGTTACTAGGGAGACAAAACAAGCTTCATGCTGGAGAGTCAAAGTGGCTCAGTAACCAACAGCAGCTGCCACAACAATAAACACAATGGCGCTCGCTAGAACACTATGCATAGTTTTACAGTAATTCATTCCATTCATGCATTTACTAAATGAAGACATACCTATCTGAATTTTATGAATAACAACTGTGCTAATCATGTCCCTAACTACAAAACTTTGGTTGTTGGTGGAAATTTGGTCAACACTTTTTGTGACAAGTTCTTTAAACTATCAGTACTCTTTGTCAAAACAAAGAAAACATTGTGCTGTAGTGCTTAGCAACAATACAGTAAAGTGATCTCCGATCAGGCAGCGAGCGGCTTCACCTATTATAAGACCATATGCCGTATGGAAACAGCGAGAATATAAAGGACACCTTTTTCTCTCTCTGGCCTGCTGCTGAGAAAACTCCAAACATTCAGGAGCAGACATTTTTTGCTTCTGACTTGGCAAACACAGGAGAACCATGATTCAATTATATATTTTTGTGAAAAAAAAGGTTAGATTAGTAGCAAAAGTGTTTTACAGACAAAAGCCATGGAAGAAAAGTTTTCCACTGCTTAAAATATATATTTCTGGTGCTCTTAAGGAACTCAAAACCAAAACAATGATCCGAAGAGCCTGTAATGTAACATCAAGAACAATTGCTCTCCAAAGAACCATATAATTAATCCCAAGAACTAGGGGTGGGCGATATGACCAAAATCTTATATCACAATATGAGATTTTTTTATTTCACAGTAATGACACATATCATGATATAGTTATTCTTGCTTTAAATAAGGTCTTTATGATATCAAAATTTCTGACAGACAGCAGGAATATTAGACTGCAGTCACTTTAAGAGCTGCCCGGATCCAATATACTGTTACACCTGTGTTTTTTTTTCTCAGCTGTTTGCTTTCACTTAAAGGGGTCATATGATGCGATTTTAATTTTTCCTTTCTCTTTGGAGTGTTACAAGCTCTTGGTGCATAAAGAAGGTCTGTAAAGTTGCAAAGAGATATCCAAAGAGATATCTCAAATCCAAAGAGATATTCTTTATAAAAGTTAAGAGTCAGCTCAAGTCAAGTCTGCTTTATTGTCAATTCTTCCACATGTACAGCACATACACACAGAGAATTGAAATTGCG